CTATGTCTGTGTCAGCTTACTTCACAACCAATACTGAGCCTGATGACGGGGACCCAACGTGGCCCCGAAAGTACTTGTGATTTTGAATGACCGTTGTCATTAAAATATATTGAATCTACTTCTGGAGTGCTGGTGACATCTTTTGGAATTACAGGTATAACGAACGCAAACGAATCCGAATTTCCGTTTCCGAAATTCAGTAGCGGTAGTTCGTTTGAACGTTCGTTTCGTTTTCGTTTCTTATTCGTTTCGTTCGTTGGAGCAAAGTGACATTAGAGAAGGAGAAAAACATAATTTTTCCCCCTCAAATGTCACTTTGCTGCAAACGAACGAAAGAATGAACAAAACGAATAAGAAACGAAAACGAAACGAACGGTCGAACGAACTACCGCTACCGCATTTCGTCCGAATGCGAATTCGAATTGACTTTCACACCCGAATCCCGAAATACGAAATAACACAAATCCGAATTTAAAACAAAACGAAACTAAACAGATTTTTTGGCAGTGCACATGTCTAGTGAGTGGCGTGGAATTTGATTGCATAGTTTGTAGTGATTGTAATACGTATTAGGTAATTGATTAAAGTGAGTGTAGTGACAGTACTAGCTTGGATGCATACAATTAAAAAAATGCTTTTACGGTGGGCAAAACAAGATAACAAACAACATGCTGCAAGTTAGAGCAGACCTATACATAAATTCTAATGTTTGTCTGTTCAAAGGCAATATGACAAAGGCAATATGACCACTATGGGTTTGAGGCTAATCCTGCAGGTTCAAGACTGGCAGTCCTGGTGGATTTAAGCTTTTTGAAACCCTTTTGCTGCCTTTATTTTCCTATTATTTGTTTTTTTTGCCTTTATTTATTTTGTGGTTGATTTGAGGTCAGTGGTCAGTTTTAGCTGCTGTCCTGTCCATATAAAAAAATGTTTTTTTGTTTCAGGAGGTGGTCATTTATGTTAGAGGTATATTGTTTTTTATTTTATGTAAAGTCTGGGGTGCTGAAAGTGGAATATTCATTTGTTACTGACCATCTGTTCATGTTTTTTGTTTGCACACCAATTGAAAGTGGCAGATTATTTGAAAGAAAAAAAAAAACTAAGTGCAAGTATAGTGCGTACCTAAACCACCTCACATTATATCACTCACAATCACTACACCCCCATTCCCATATATAAAATAAAGTTAGGTGTACACCAGTTAGGCCTATTATTCCTCTTTAAAACTGTCCTATCCATTTTACACTGCTGTCCCATCGAAGGTCTCTTACTTCTCGTAATACCGGCTGTCGTCTTTTTCTATAGTACATTTCAGCCAATTCTCCCTCATAAAAATGTCATGCTTCTGGCCAACTTGAGCTTAATAGAAATTGGTTAGTGGCAGAACAGTTTTGCATCAGTGAGAACAGGGATAGCCACATAGAACTACTCATCAAGAACAAGTATAGCCACAGTGAAGCACCAGACAATTTCCCTTGGCCAGCCATTTGATAAAGAAGCATGCATCACTGATAAAACTACCTGAAAAAAGCCTTTTTTCAAACAAAAATTGATCATATTGAGGTTCTGCTCTATGTAAGCCAAGCTAATTGTAAAAGAAAAAATCAATTCCACGGCCAAATATGTGCAGCCAATTTACACTGTTACTAGACTGTCTATAAAATGTATACTGTTGCATAACACCACATTCAGCTTTAGGACATCCCACAATCAAGTTATTTAAAGGGTCTGTGTAGTTTCAATGTTGTCCCTGAAGCCGCATGAAAAGACTCTCCCCATCGTATTGATTTTGCTGTAATTGCACATTTCCCGTATGCCAGTGCCCCACTTCCTGTGCCTTGTCTGTTTTTTGCAGAGTGGCCCTTAAAATAGCCATAATTTAGCAACAATATTTCCCCCCAAAAAGACGTCAAAATATTTTTAACAAGATTTGACGAACCTTTTGCGAATCAAACCCTGGTAGATTTGACTACCACTAGTGACAGAGTAATCAGTGAAAAATTGTACCTTTAGCATACAAATCCTTAAGTAGCAGGGCACTTTAGCATATGACAGACACTCTCTTTTCTTCAAGAGTCTACGAGGCATATCTGAACTCTGACATAATCAGAGGAATATCCCATCCACTCCTACCTATAAATACTGAATTACATTGATGGTGTCATCAGGGTCTAGGAATAGGAAGAATGCCCAGAGATAGCTGGTAGCTCCACTAATGTAGTAGTGGCCTCACAGCTGCAGTCACTGTGGATTAAATGAAAAAGCCATCCTGGGCAAAGCAGCAGCCAGCAGATGCTTTATCAGTAAGAACTGGCTTGTCTCACCCTGTTTGAAACATAAGGTTTGCTGAGGACTAGGTCCACTTTTAAACATTTTTTAAATACACCCTCATGGAGAAAGGTCTTCTATGTGCTGGCTGCCCATTTCATAAGGAAGTCAAATCTATATTTGGATATAGCAACATATTGTGCGGCCGCACTGCTCGCACACCCCTAAGGCCGGCCCTGCATACACACATATACTGTATATGTGGCAAGACATGTAGGGCATCTTTGGATCCCAGTTATAAAAAAACTAAATTAAAAGCAGCAACAAAACACCCAAACCCCTGATATTAATAACCCCTGTTTCTTTTACCCTCCATAGAAACTTACCTAATGCTTTCTGTTGTTTTCCTCTACTACTTATATTGTTAACTATCAGTGGTGACTCTAGGAACAATATTTAGGGGGTGCACATAAGATACCACAGTCAGATCTGGGGGGGCACTAATAATTTTCATTGCATGTCGCAACCGATGGGCGCCGAGAGCTGATTTAATTGCGGATGGCATCTGTGTCCTGCAGTTGCGACAGAAGCCTGCATACAGCGTGTGCCGGTTACTACTTAAACTGGTGCGCTGTGTGCAGCTTCTGAGAAGATACGCTATTAGCATAGCGGGGAAGCCGGCTGCGCATTTTGCATCGCTCCCGCTACGCTAATAGTGTATCTTATGCTACACACAGCGCGCCGGTTTAAGTAGTAACCAGCACACGATGTATGCAGCTTCTGACAGCGTGGGAGACGGGAGGCTGCACTTGTCAGTGGATCCAGGGATCAGATGAGTATTTTTAAAAAAATGTCACCTATGAACATCCCATTCAAGAATACATGATAGAATGGTTAATTAATAGCATGATTAGAATAATAGATACATGAATAAGGATGGTTGAGAATGGGGGAGCGAATATTTGTCTCAACGTTTCGCGCTCAGAGGCGCTTCTTCAGGAAATGGAGAGAATCAATTTAGCAGGTTGACGTGCGTGTATCCAAGACGACCCCAACCGGGCAGTACACCAAAACAGTCCTCCCAGGGGAGAAGAGCGCCTGTAGCTCTTTATGGAGGCTGCCATTTTGGTACAGGCAGGATTTTGCTTCTTCATGTCAAAGCCTCCAGAAAGGAGAACAGTTAGCAGCACAGTGGTAATATCACCAAATATACTTACAAATCATCTGAAACTTGCAGTCAAAAGGCACAGTGCCTTCAATTCTTACTACAGATATACAGCTATAGACACGGGAGTGCCTGGACTCCCTCACATACCAGGAAGAACATTTCTATTTTTCAGGAAGCATTCCAGACAGATGGTCCTTTTTTTCAGGATGCTGCTTGTTCCCCAACACAGCACTTTTTAAATTCAAGTCCACTTTAATCTTGCCCAGGATATATGCAAGTGAAAGTGGAAGTGGAAGATACAGCAAATAAACTTAAAATTGCATAGCATATCCATAAATGTTAAAGGAAAAAACATAAAAATTATATATATACATATATATATATA